ATCGTTTTTTCGTTTGCAAATGCAAAATAAAACAAAATTAACTCAAAACCAACCACCTGTTAATAAAATAATAAATCAAGCGTTTGTTTACCTTTAATTGTGCAGCATTTAATAAACATTCCTCGCGAATCTAAAAATAACCCGCCTGTGTATATCGCCCAATGATCGAACCTATAAATAGTATATTTGTTCTAAAAATAACCCGACCAATTTAATTTTATCTACTCCATGAACTATTTAAAAGTATGTAAGTATAGTAGCATTATTATGTTTTGTTGATGATTTGTGAGTGAATATTTTTATGCCGAACGTCACTGACCTTTCCTTACTATAGGTACCTACACGTTTTAATTCTTTCTTATCAATGGAATAAATTAGGTATTGTAGTTATGTAATCCAGTAGGTGACGATAGGTGAGCAAGTGTAAGCAAATTAAAACAAAATGCAAATAAAACTCATTTCGCCTTGAAGTTATCCCAATCGCATTGGCACTTTCCATGGAAAGTGAGTAGTTTTTCTCCATTTTCTTCATAAATACATTTTCCCATCATCAGCTCACTAGCTATTTCCAGAATAGCGTGATAAAGCAAATAAAATATAAAAGATTTTATTGTAAATATGAAAGAATTTTAGCTCCCCTTACATACTGTGGTTACCACAAATGGTCAATATTCAATATTAAGCTTTATAACAATGGCTGTTTAATTGGGTAGGTACCTAGCTAACAAATTAAAATATATTTTAATGAGTGCAGCAATGATGAGTGCAGCAATATTGAGTGCAGCAAATATCACTAACAAATTGTTACATCTGTGAATACCTTGACTTTATTTTAATGTCTCTTACAAAAATTAATTAATGTTAATTAATAAATTTGCAATTAATTAATGTATGTATTTTGTTAAAGCCAATGCACGTTAATACTTGTAGTGGCTTAATTATAATTATAATGTATACCTATATTGTCCAGGACTATTAATGATCAGTAACTTAAGTTACTGATCATTAATAGTCCAATTGCAAATTGAAAGAAGAAAGTTTCGTGATTATTGCCGATCTTTTTCAAACCAAATGGATGCCATTTTCAAAGACAGGAAAATTAACTACTAGATTTTTCACAAAAAGTTTGAACCTAACAGCAAATAATTTTTATTTTTTGTTTTTTTATTCCCCCTTATTTTTTAAAATTTTAAAAATTTTGATTTGCTTGGCTGAATATAATGTGTGATTTAATATTTGTAAAACCAAAAACGTTACTTTTTTACTCAAAAAATGTCCATAAGGCGATGTACTACCATTGAGGCATTTGGCATAACTTCAACGAAATTAAGTTTTGCCCTTAAAAGTTCTTTTACTTTAGAATTTGATTATTTTTATTATATAATAATTATCAAGTAAATTATCAATAATAAATATTACTGAAAGTGTCGGAGTATTTAATTAATGTCTTCAGCAGAAGTTACATTTTTTAAATATTAAATCAAACTGGCATACGCTACCAACTTAATAAAAAAACACGAGTCCAAATTAAAAAAATTAACTATATATATAGTACCTAGGTATCTTGAAAACCAAAGTAAACTTTCATATTTTTCTATTCGTTTCTGGATTCATTGGACAATTTAACATTGGACAATGGGCAAATGTAGTTTTTCTATTCATAGTAGGTAGGTGCAAAAAAACAAAGTTGGCTTCGTCAGAAAGCACAGGGCTGCTAGGTTTAAGTTATGTTGAACGAAGCAGCAACTATAGAAGCAGGGAAAACCGTCAAGTTGCTTGTGGCTCACCAAGGCCAACTCGAAAGGTGAACCGATTCATGTTTATTTATTTAAAAAGCTATATCCATTCGTTGCTTGATTTTTCTACATTTTCATAATGTATTTTATTGTTGCTATTAATGTTTGCATAAAATTCATTCATGCCATGAATTAAATCGAATACAGCGAATTCAGTTTCGGTTGCCAATGAAAAATAACGAGTTTATTAAAACCACTGTAACCTTGGCTCTTGTACAGAAACTAACTATAGCAATTGGACAGGGTTGCCAGGTATACGAAAGTTTCCTTAGTTTTAAGGAATTATATTTTTTATATGAAGATTAAATATTTGGCCTACTTAAAATTAGGTTTGTGGCTTATATGTAACTAAAATTCTTAAATGGGTCGTTGGATCTAGACAATATACAAATTCTGGGAAAAATAAAAAATAATCTTCCGGCAACAGTGCACGGAAATTTCACCGCAGTGCAAATAATAAAATTAATGCGAAAAGCAAGCAAATTCGCTCACATGTTTACTTACTCGGTTAATTTTCCAGAGAGAGCAACACACTTATATTATTACTTGCGTATGCTCGGACCGATCATATCGTTAGAAAATAAATAGGTCGGTCGTAGCAGATAAAAAGGTCAACTATGAGTCGTAGAATATGAAATTACCTTTTTACACATATTTTAAAACAAAGTTTTAAATCAAAGCGTCTAAAGCCGCTAATGGCTGGGTTAATTAAAAGAGGGCCTGGGGTTTCTTCAAACGATTTGCGATGGCCTACTTGTCAACGTTTTTTTATTCAGCACTTCGTTTTGCTTCAACAAATATTGGCCATTATAAATACCGTTCTATGCGTCGCGTTTATTTACGATTGAAATTTGTGTGTCTACCTACCCTACCTACGTAAAATCGAGTTTTTTAACAGGTGTCGAAATACACCTGGCAATAGGTATTATATATTTTGCTTAATCAGGAAAAACTTTTGCATTTTGTATTTAAGAACTACTAAATGTTTGACCTTTTTTTCTTTGATGAAACGTTAGTTTTGTCCGTTCCCTATGATCGTATTAAAACAATCTAAAAAGTTAAATATACAAGATATAGGTATAACACAAAATTTTATTATGTATACGGGGTGTTCTAAAATCACCGGACCGGACCAAACGAAAGACATAGGTATTTTTTATAGTTATTTGAGGTAGGTATACCACAAATATATTTTATCTTATTTGTTTTTATCATTCATTTTTAATATTTATAATTTTCTTAGAATTTTGTATGACCACTTAAGTACCTATCTAGAATCTAGATCTACAATATTGTATTTGTTGAGGAAGGGAATGTTCCCCTTTCTGCAGTAAAATACGCAATTCCAGGAAGGTAATAAAATCCTGAGGATTATAATCCTGTTAAGTATACTAGGGACTTCTCAAGGATATACATACATAACTACATAGCTATTTATTAAACACTTGTTGAACGTTTTAAAAGATTCCTGGAGATGCTGCAACCATGGTTACCTGCAAATTATAAAGTAGCCCAAATTCAAAATTTAATATTTGGGGGAATCTCACGAAATGTCCCCCGATGGTTACCGGTAACGGGGCCCCGTGATATTTAATAAAACTAAATGAGTTTGACCTACACTTTTATTGTGTTTTGATCTTTAATAATTAAGCAGCTGCTTAATTATGAAAGATCAAAACACAATAAAAGTGTAGGTCAAACTCTATCTAGATATTACAGCTCAGGTTCCAGATTTTTAACCGCAATTAATTATTTTTTACAATGTTTTTAAAGTCTAAAACCTATCCTCCGTGACTGTTACTCTTTCTAGGTTAACCTATATGTTTTCAAATATCTGAGGTAGTAAAAGCATACTAAAAATATCAGTTCACTAAGTAAATTAAACACATCCAAAGCAATCAAATCAAATATAAAATATTATTAAAAATTAAAAGAAATAATTTTTATAACCATTTATGTAGTTGTAACAAAAATTGATTCTATCCTCCGTGCATCTGTTTTTGCTTTAAATTTTATGCAACGGATGGCACTTTAATCATTTTAAATCATATACTTACTTGGTAATTAAGTATATGTTTTAAATAAGCAAAAACCTCGGTTTACGACATTATAGATGCATGTGATTCCTGAAGGTCAGTTAGAATTTATATGCAGATGAGAGTGTTGCTGTTTTTATAAATATTTTATATATATACATTATTATACTATATTATATTATACATATGTATGTAGAATTGTATTTTAAAAAAATATTATGATGTCAAAAGATACAATAACTTATTTCAAATATACAAAGGGATGTTTAAAAAAAACATACGAAATCCTAACCTCCGTGAAGCTATCTATTCAAAATGTATGTTATTACTAAACCTGGTGGCTTCCCAAAAACCCCATTCTAGACTAACAGTGAAACAACCAAAAATAAAAAATAATCACCCATTCGCATCAAAAAAAAATTCAAAGTTTGTGCCATCAATCCAAAATAAACGTTTTCATTAATCACAGATTATAGAAGATTAGTGGCAACAACGTCGTCAAAACAAACGAATTTGATTTTTCATTATTTAAGACTTGCGCCGTGTCATCGAAAACACGTGCGTTCCGATTATAATACACATGGTACATGTGGATTAATGTTAGGAGAACTTCACTGTTATATGTTCAGTGGAAAAAACCACTTCGCCACATGCAAGAATTATTATTCCGTTGCCGTTGCTATACGCTGCGCAGTGTTGCCGCCTCGACCGCCACGCTCGCCTTCTCCCGACCTCGATGCTGCTTTGTTTTTGTCGATACCAGGGCCGGCTTTAGCATCTGGAATTTCGAGGCCCTTCATATTGGGGAGTTTTAATTTTCTTTAGTTTTTCGTATATTTTAATTCATTTAAAAATGGATTAAAATTAACTTTGCCAGCTTATTATTATTACTATATAAATTTGTTATGTGCAATGATTTTAAAAGCACTATTTTAATTAATTAGTTAATTAAATAATATTACTTTACGCGATATTTTTCAGTACACATTCGATCATACCCTCCAGTAACGCTCTCTTTAAAATTTCATACACGCTTTGTGTTTGCTTGTTTGTACGTGTACAGTCTGGCAGCACTGCGTGTCCCCTTTAAACAAATAAACTCGTTTGCGTTATCTGACGCCATCTAGCGTTTAACTCTAGATCTAGTTACAGGTTTCTGTAAGTTGGGGATATTTGGCGTTGTACGGTTGGCAGCGGATCACATTCCAGAAAAACAAACCTCGTTTAGTGTTTTTGTCATCGAGGGTGATGTTTATTAGGTGGTTGTTGTGATATACATATTATAGTTTTTAGCGAGAATGTCCGAGTGTGGTGTGTTAGAGCAGGGACAAGTGACTTATGCGCATTATCACTTCGAGAAGACCGCGCTGGAATTGGCGCGGTCTCAATGGCCCAACTATTCCGATCAGCATTACTTGAGGGGGTGCAAATGGTCCCCCGACGGCACCTGTTTGTTGACGGTGGTGCGAGGAGCGGGCATGCACGTCATGGAGCTGCCCAGCGATCTGTACCAGGGAGAATCCATGTTGACCAGCAGACCCATTTCGCCCCTCAATCCCGCGGTCAGCGTCCCCGAAAACGGGCTCATATACGACTTTTGCTGGTATCCCGGTATGAACAGCGCCAATCCTGCCACTTGCTGGTAAGAATTCTTCATTTACACACAAACTGCTCACCTGTCAGTTGACGTTTTTTATAATATACTAGCTTAAAGTGACCAGATTTTGTCAAAAAATAGCGGAACATTTTGTGTAAATTAACCTTAATTACAAAAATGACACAAGCAACAATAATTAAGTAACGTCAAATTTACAATTTGCATTGTATCATTGTGTCAATTTTGTAATTAATTTACCTAAATTCATACAAAATGTCCCACTATTTTTTGACAGAATCTGGTCACTAGCTAATATTTTAAAGAATTTTATTGCCAACTCCAAATGTTTTCTACATTTAAATTGTATTATAATATGTAATAATAGTAATAATTAATATTAATATATTAAATATCTGAAAAATCGGCATCTTGTGAACTTTCAGTTGGTTGTCTTGCGGGCACGAGGGCCCTGTCCACCTGTGGGACGCTTTTTCCGGCGAGTTGCGGTGCTCGTACAGGGGCTACAATTACGCGGACGAGGTGGAGGCCCCGATAAGCGTCTCCTTTTCCGCCGACGGCCAAAACATCTTCTGCGGGCACAAAAAAAGCGTCAAAATTTTCGGCACCGGCCGACCGGGAAGGGAATACACCGAATACACCACCAACCACCCAGCCTCCTGCATCGTGGCCAGCCAGGCTCAACCTGGCATCGTGGCCATAGGTACTTTACTTGTTTTTCAAATGTTTTGTTTCCACCTCGAGAACACGATACACAAAAAGCGCCGTGTGACGTCATGTGCGAACCAAAAGCTGGCGGGTAACTGACTTGGAATGTCATTTGCACTGCATATTCACGTTATATTCGAAAATTTATAAATATAGAAATATACAAATATAAGAGAAAGTTAAATTGCAGCAAGCGCTTTTAATACTAATGTAACATATTTTAAGCAACCACTAATTTCTTACCTTCCTATTATTATTTTACAAAATATTTTTTATTAAATCGAATTAACTTGACTTACGCTAGACCGAATTTGACATTTTTTTAATGTGAAAATATGTGGTTAGGGTGGAAAGTTACTATAAGTACTTAACAGAAAATTGGGTATGCCTTTACTTACCGTTTTTTATTTTTATTTTATCCTTTCTCGCATGCATTCATCCACTGTGCTGCCAGTTTTTTATTTTTTGGAAATCGAAAATATTTAATGTTAGGTTAGGTTGGGTGTTGGAGTTTCCGTTCATATTTCTGCTGTCTGCTACAGCACAGCCCGGCATATTTTAAAAAGTTATTAAGCCCAACAAATATAACACAAACTTAATAAATAACCCGGTATAAAACATACATATAAATACCTTGTAAATAGTTATTGCTATTCAATAAATGACAATAAGTGGCTTATGCTTTAAAAATCACAATAATTTCGGAAAAAAACTCGAAAGAAATCGTATTAAAACACCCGTGCATAGCGTATGCATAAGCAAAACTGTTTGTAATATTTGAATCTGGTTCGCACGTGACGTCACAACCAGCATTATGCCGGCAGCATATCGGTTTTTGAGTATTGTGTCTCTAAAAATTGTAATTGATGCCGTTTGCGTCAAAATAGAAGTAGAAAATAAATATAATATCTCTCACAAAATATAGAATTTAACGGAAAATGTATAGAAAACGAAAAAAATAAAATTCAACAAAACATATAATATAACTATAGGGTCATTCCACGTTACTCGGGGATTTTTGTCCCGCCCGTCACAATTAAAAATTGTGAGTAAAAACTACACGTTATAAAATTTATTTAAAAATATTGTTTTATTATGCTTTTAATAAGTTATAAGCACAATACAAATAATATTATAAAATATTAATTTTATAACTTGTGGTTTTTACTCACAATTTTTAATTGTGACGGGCGGGACAAAAATTACCGAGTAACGTGGAATGACCCTATAATAAAACAAATAAAATCCAACAAAATATAGAAAATCAAACAAAACATGTAAAAGCCAACAAAATATTAAAACTCGGGTTCCTCACTTGACCGTTTGAGGGCGCTCGACGCACAAATTTCAAGAAGACTAATAGTGGGAGATTTTTCGCCAAGTTTTGAAGGATTTCTTTACATCCTTTTAGTTTTTAATTTTAGGTTTATAGCTTTAATTAGACAATATGGAGTTGAATCGGCCAAGGATGGATGAAGTTTTATATTTTATCTATTTTGCGTTCATAATGACTTCATTATAACACCGCTTTCGGTGCTTTTATAGGTTGGCTATAATTTAAACAGTATAATATTTTTATGATTTTCTAGTACTTACGAGACTTTTCTGGCCATGCATTTTGTTGAACACCAAAGAAATTCCTTTTTTCTTCTTTAACATTAACAGCCGCTTATTCTGATAAGTAAATTAAGGACGGCATGGCGAATCGATTTTGACATTAACTGTCAAACCAATAGCTGGCCATACACAGACGTTATTTCGCGCGGTTTATCGTGGCGTGTTGGGATGTAGCTGTTAGTATGCACGAAAGAACGGCATGGCAAAAAAAGCGTCATGTTCCATACACTTGATAAAGTATTCAAATGATTTAGCAAGTGATTGCCCGTGGTATATCAGTTTCAAAGGAAAAATTGTATGTGAGTGGGCAAAAAGTGTCATTATCGAGTCGTTTGAAACTGCATGTGATCATGTACAAATTTTCAACGTGAAATTTTGCCAAGCAAAGGTAAACCGTGACGCGGAATGTGGCGTGTGGACACGCCACACTCCAGAGAAAAGCACGTCTGAAATCCCTCCCGTTCTATCATTTCGCGCGGCGATACTCACTCACGTACATGATTTTCCATATGTTTTTGCAGATAACAGGATAAACCGCGCGCAATAACGTCTGTGTATGGCCAGCTAATGACTGTGATCTAAAGTTAAATTCGAACAAATTAAATTTAAGGTATAAAATTAATTATTTTTTCTACTCCCACCTTTAAAACGTCCTTTATCGTACATGTTTCCATGACCTTTTAAATACACATTGATAAGTTGTGGCTTTATGGCGCTTTAGTCACGGGCTGAAGTTAGCAAAAGGTTTTTAGTCACGGACTGAAGTTAGTTTTAAGTTAGTTGACAGTTGTCAAATGTCATACAATCGTTAAAATAAAGTGCCTTTCTTGTAAAATAATACCTACTAAATGTGAAAATTATTTTATTATCTCAATACAAAAATACAAAAGTATTAAATAGTTTCTCAACGCCAATATTTGAAAAGTTTATATAAACATTGTACTCATCTTTTAATTTCGCCGGCAGTAAACTATAACTTAAATTCGGGCACGGACTCTACTGTAAAGTGCTCATAAAACATTTCCTTTACTTTTACTGTGAAAAACTGTAAATTTTCAAGAAATACATTTCGATTTATAACCTTAAAATCTTTGTTTATAAAATGTAAAAATTTGACATTTGACGGTGACACACAGATTCCCCTATTGTTTCATAGATGGCGCTCTATACAAATTTTTGATTTAAATCATTTTAAGATAATAATAAGTATTTGTCGTAGAAAAAGTATAGTATGCACCTCGTTTATAAACTTTTCTATACACTCATCAATTTAAGCACTCGCTCGCAAGCTCGCTCGTTCCTAAATTAAATTCGTGAATAAAATGGCGTTTATCAAACTTGATACATAATATATTATTTTGTATAGAATTTTTGCAAAATAGATAAAATAGCATAAAGAACTCATGTCGTAAGTAAGACCTTTTGTCGCACTCGTCCATTTTGTCCGGGTGCGACAAAATTACGTCTTTATGACATTAGTTCTTTAATATAGGTACTATTATATATCTATTTTGTGTTTTCTATAAATTTTCTGTTAAATTCTATATTATATTTATTTTGACGCAAACGGCGGCTCATAAGTGCGGGACGCAAATGAGTATGAACCGGAAATGGTTGTAGGAAATTGGAAAAACACAATCGAGTTGGTGTCTCAGAGCGATGGCAACTTCCGGCACCTGTGCAAGTTGTCGGGGCACAAGGGCGGCATCACGACCCTGGCGTTCTCGCTGGACGGGTTCAGGTTGTACAGCGGCGCGCGCAAAGACAAAGAACTCATCTGCTGGGACCTGCGAGTAAGGCAGTTTTGATTGAGCATTTAAACGGAGGAAAATATCCGAGGAAACGTCCGGCATCGCATTAACGACGCTTAAACTTTTTTAGGTCCCCGGTCGGCCGCTGTTTAATTTGCAAAGAGAGGTGACCACCAATCAGAAGGTCAGTCTGGACTTGTCGATGGACGGCAAGTGGCTGGTCAGCGGCGGCACCGATGGTAAGGTACAAATTTGGAATGTCTCCGAAGTTACTTATCCCACTGTACACATGCAGGTAAAAATTATTATTATCCTTTTTTTTCTTTCCTCTGAAAATTCATTTCTATCAACAAAAATATACGTACCATCCTGAAAGGAAAATGTGCTCATCGTTTGGGGCATTATAAAATAATTTGATATTCTAAAAATTTTGGAAACTGAAAATGGTAAGAATTTTGGAAATCATGAAAATTTTCAAAACTAAAAAACGTGCTTGTATCACCGTCTTTCTTTTACCCTTGTATTATTTTAAGTATAAGAGTACTATAAGAAGTATCGGGTTTTCGCGAATTTAAGAATTGTCAACAATACATTTATAGCACATGAACTGTACATCATTTTTAAAGAAATAGGTAGTTTTTCACAAAAGAAGTCTTACTCGTCAAATTTTGTTAAATTGTACAGCTAAATCGTGCACATTATTTGTGTTTTACGTTGCAAGGATAAAACTAAAAAACTGGTTTAGTACTCGATTTCGATTGATTATTCTCTATATCATTGATTAAGAAACTCAACGCTTAAATGCTTGTATAGTTACGTTAGGGTGTGTATTTTATCTAAGGGATCATGGTGGATTATTGGGTTTTTAATTGTAAATAAAATTCAAGAAATAAATCGTTGCATTTTCATGTTTTGCCAAAGGATCCAATTCGGTAAGTACATTTGTTGGTGCAGAATTAACTAATGATAACTTTACCTAATATAATTTTTTATTTAAGTTTGGACATTTTTAAGAAATTAGTAAAAAATAATTTTTGCACAAACATAACTTTAAAATCAACCATTTTTATATTTGAGTTCTCTAGAAAACGCCGACAACTGAATTTTAAACAACAAAATATACCTGGCAACATAATATTATACAGGGTGTTATGTAATTAATGATATATATTAAAATGGGTTGTTCCTTAGGGTCCATAAAGAAGCACCTGCAACTTTTTTTTCAAAATTCCAAAGACTAAAAATAAATTATAATAACCTTTATCCTACCAAAAACTATGCCACTGATCGATTAGGAACTTTAGGCTAATCCAAATTCTGTCAACTACAAAAATGATAAAATTAACAATGCAAATTGTCAATTTGGCGTTTTTATTAATTGTTGGTTATGTCATTTTTGTACTGAAGGTAAATTCAAACAAAATGTGCCAACTTTTATGACAATCTATATAGTGCATTTCTTTAGGTTATGAGCTCAAATTGTAAATATCTTAACTAAGGGAAGTGCTTTTGGATTTATTTACACAAATTAAATGTTTAAAGTTTAACCTGTGAACTGGTCCCAATTTCATCTGATTAAACAGAAAGAAAAAAAGCGATGAAAAAATTAATTTTGTGGTTATGGATTTTTTTAAATAGGTACTAAATTTTCTAATCATTGCTTAGCTAATAGCTGGATGAGTAAATAAATACAGAAGGGTATTAGAGTCTTAAGGGCATACAACTTTTGTATTTATTGAGTTTTTATTTATTTTTTGCAAGAAAAATTTTTAGTAACAATTTTTTACATCTGGCAACGCGCAGCTCACAAAACACAAGTGTGCAGAGATAATCCAAGTGTGTAACCAGCGGCGTATCACAAAAAGTATAAAAAAAGTTCTAATGCATATTTTTTCTTTATTTTTGGAAAAATATTTTTTAAAATATTTTTCCTTTACTCCTTATGTCAAAAGGTATTCAGTATTTTAATATATAACATTAATTACATAACACCCTGTATATAATGGTATTTTACCGTTGAGTGAAGACTTTAAAGAATTCTTAATCAACGCTTTTAATAATGCTGTTTAAATTTAGACGACTTTAGATGACTCTAGATGACAGCCGAGTGGTGGCGCTACTAGCGATACTTCTTTAGCGTATTATAACATAATTGTTTATTTAGTATATCTAATAATTTAGGTATCACAAAATTTCCGAGTAAAACAATTTAAAATAGCACAATAAAAATTATTGGGAAACATTTTGGGCTGGTACATTATTTTTGTTGATTAACTTATTATTTTACATTTTAATTAGGACTATTTTGTTTGTGTTCAGAGACAAAAGAGCAGTTTTATTTAAACTTTTTCCTTGTTGATTAACAATCCTCTTATGCAATACTTTGACTTGTTTTGTGTAAATAGGTGATTTTGTGTATCTACTATTGTACTGTGTGTTTGATAATAAGCAAGCAATATTTACAGGATGTCGTACATAAAATGTCCATCACTGTAAAACTGCAGTGCAGTGCAGTGACATCAATAGATCTCGAGAAGGCTGCAGGATATTTTATTTGTTTCTCGATTCTCGATAATCGCTAATTAAATTCGCAAAAATTAAATCCGGTTGTTAAGTCGTAATTTTTTAAAAGGGTCCAAACAAAAATAGGATGTGGCTTTTCGATCGGTAAATGTAGACGTGGAGTTTCGAGTGGCAGTGGTAAAGTAACCGCGGTGCGTTTGTTTTTCCCGCAGATGTCGCTGCACGGCGACAGTTGCAACGGCGTGTCCCTCCACCCGTACCGTCCGATTCTGGCGACCTCCAGCGGCCAGCACCACGCCCAGGACCCGCTGCACCACACGCGCAGCCAAACGGTCTACGAGAACGCCATCTGCATGTGGTGGGTGGGCCTGCAGGAGGAGGACTCCGACCTGATGGCCACCATCATCAAGGCGGCCACCAACTCTTCCTCTCTCTTGTAAATACCTTGTGCGTGCAATTGATGGAAAAACGAAACAAATTCATTTTTACCAACCTCTTCAATTTTATCGATTGTTGCACCTACGTATGTTCATTGAATTAAATAAACGATTTTTTTATTATTTTTTTATTAACACTTATCTTCTACAAATAAATAAATAAATAATCCCTACAATAAATACTATGTCTACGACGAAGAAGGCACTTTTTAATGGGCATTTGAAATTGAGAAATGGTTTAGGATTTTGGCGGAGGTTTTAACATCGATCTGGCGGCCGACGCCAATTTTTGCGACACCATCGTCGCGATGTTCGAACTTCTCTTCCACATGAATTCTTTTGTTTTTTCGTGGTTGTCTGCGCTGTCCACACGCACCTAAAATTGTAAAGATTAAATTTAATTCTGTTGCTTTTTATTTTAAAAACAAAAACCGTCAAATTACGTGCAGTTCCCGAAAACATTCTCTTCTCTTTTACTGTGAAAAACTGCTTCTGTATCGAATGTTAGTCTGTTTAATTTTGATTTACACTGACAAATTTGTTAGAAATTCAAAGAAATAAATATTTTCTTAACATTATCATATTTTGAAGTTATTTTAATATTTTAAAGTATCAATAATTTTTAAGTACCTATAATTAAAATAATATTGGTTTAATTTATAGACCGCTTCAAGATAATAGTATATTAAAGAACTAAATGTCATAAGACGTTATTTTGTGGACGAGTGCGACAAAAGGTCTTATGACATGAGTTCTGTATGCTATTTTATATATTTTGAAAAAATTCTATAAAAAAAATAATTTTATACCTTAAATTTAATTTGGTCGAATTTTACTTTAGATAGTTTGTATCACAGTCATTGGTTTGACAATTAATGTCGATTTGCCATGCCGTCCTTAATTTACTTATTTACAATAAGCGGCTGTTTATGCATAATAGATCTTTTTTCTTTAACATGTTAAAGAAAAAAGATCTATCTATATATATAGACTATTAGACTGGGCCAAAAAAATCAACTATTTTTTTTTGAAAAGTAGGTATATCGAAAATATGGTTTGGGGTGACAAAAAAAATTATTGTGAAAGTTTGAGTCCATAATATTATTATTAAGAGGTCTATCATCGCAATTTTAACTTTTTTTTCCTCAGCAAGTTTTACGCTCAGAACTCCCAAACCATTGAGTTGAAAATATTTTTTTAAGAAAATTAAATGCTCTACAAAAAAGGTTAAAGTGAAATTTTCCGTCAGATGAACCGTTTCCTTAAAATCATGCCTTAAAAATTGGTATAGTTTTACATTTTGATCTTTTAAATTGGAATTTTGTAATTCATGTAAAAATCAGTACCCATAAAAAACCGATAAATATTCTTATGGAAAATCAAATGCTTTACAAAAAAAGCCTCTTAACATTTTTGGCTAAATTCACTGAATCAAAAGTTATTCAAGGTTAAAATTTCGTTTTGACTTCAAATTTAACCTTGAATAACTTTTGATGGGGTGAATTTAGTCAAAAATGATAAAAGACTTTTTTGTAGAGCATTTGATTTCCCATAAGAATATTTATCGTTTTTTTCAGGGTACTACTGATTTTTACTTGAATAACAAAATTCCAAAGTTAAAAGTTCAAATTGTAAAACTATACCAATTTTTAAGGCATGATTGTAAGAAAAGGGTTCATCTGACAAACCTTTTTTGCGCTTTAGATTAAACAAAAAAACATGACCACAAATTCATTAATTCAATTGTTTTAGCGAGAAATTAGTTTAGGTGGAGCGAAGTCCACCGGGTCATCTAGTATGAAAAAAAAGTAAATTGATGAATAATACCTGTTTCGGTTGCAACACTCTGATCGAATGTAAAGTGGCCGCTCCACCGTGCATTATCCTCAAGTTAAGTCTGCCAAACATTTCGGCGGTCGTGGCCGTGGCACTTTTTAGCTCCCTCTTGGCTCCACGTCCAAACTATTAATAAAAAAAAAAAATTAACAAACGAGTCTTAAGTAATAAAAGCACCAAATCATTACTTCTCTCTCGACTCGTAACGTCAACGGCCCCAAGACGAAGTTGGTTTTCACGGTGGTGTGATCCGACAGCATGTTCACGGAAACATCCCCTTCCCTTTTGATGGAACTCAGGCCGAACAGAGTGGCCCGCGCCTTCGGGCTTTTCTTCGTCGACTGTTTGCTCGCGTTGCCTTTCTTCGTCTTGTTTTTGTCTTTTTTGTTTTTGTTGTTCGATGGTCGCGCTGGGGCGGCCCTGGTTTCGGTGCTCACCGTGATGTTTTTGATCGGATATCCCGATGAAGATTCGCCGACTTTCGATATCAATATGAACGCAGGTTCTCTGCTTTCGCTCTCCGTAGCCCGGGCGATCGAAACGTCGCCCATTTTGTTCGTCGCCCTGTTGCGTTGGTTGCTGTTCTTCCTTTTCTTCGACGTGCTGTTCTTCTTCTTGTTTTTGTTGGTCGTCGTTTTTGCGGACTCGTTAGATTGAAGTTTAACCCTGACGGGGTCGTAGGATTTGCCCAGGATCCTGTTGATCCTGCCGATTATGTTGTCCACGAATCGGTTGTACTTGGATATGTAAATGGCCGGCATTTTCGGCATTATGTTCGAGTTCGCCATCGAACCTAACAATCAATCGTTCGTTTATACTGAGATAACGTTTTCAGAAAGATAGAAAACGTTTTATTTAATCATTTTATCATTCCCAAAAACGTTATAACACGTTATACAACATATTTTTGAAAAAAAAAACTTAGCTTGGCTACATTCCCAAGCAACAATTTAAGTATTTGTTACGTATATGGGACTATTGAAGAAACTTTAAAGTGTTTTGCGACAGTCGCCGGTCTCTTTATATTACTCTTTTATTACTAAGTTACGACTAAAGTGGGGAACAATTATTGAGTTCCAAAAAGGTAGCAAATATGTCACTAGCTATAAACCCTGCTACTATTTGGAACGTAGCTGCTACGTTACTAGAACGTTCCAGTATCGTTGCTAGAGCGTTATAATTACTTTTATTTATTTGTTTTTACTTCTATATTAACTGTCTTTGTCAAACTTATATTAGATTATACTATCCCTCCTTTTTTAAATGGAACCACTACGGACTTGGCTTTTCAATGTCGTCGTTTATTAAATATGTACTGGTAGTTTATAACTTCCAGAATAACAATATAATGTTTAATTAGGCAGGTAAATTTATATACCCTTTAAATTTTACTGTTGAACTTATGAATTTAGTTTTTGTAAAATAAATGCGCTTCATCAATATTTAAGTATAAACAAATTATTTATTTAATAATGTTTATAAATAAAAAAAATTTAATATTTATTATTAATTTTTTGATTTCAATATTAATACCGTCTATTGCCAACAAAATTACTATTTATTAAAAAGTAAACAACCATTTACAAACAATTAAAATAATTTATTATTTACATTACCACGTGGTACTGTACAGTAAAAAATGGCCGATAAGAAGCATTTTCCTTTGAAGTAGTTTTCGCTACTTTAAAGTTTTTTCCACTTTTCGGTTGTTTTGGTTAGTACCATCAACGTTCCAAATACTAAAATAATAACTTTTAAGTTATTAACTTTGTAGTTTTTAACTCATGTTCCAGTTTCGAGATTTTAACTTGGAAAGGAACTACAAAGTAAAAATATTTATAATGTAATCTTTAGGAAGCAACCGAAAGTAACTGCTACAAATTAAATTTACTTGAAAGTTTTTTTTACTTATAACACCTTTTTTAAAGTTGCAAAGTCTTCTTGGGGGAAACCAAGTTTTACTTAAATGTTTATTACTTTATAGTAACCATTTAAGGAAAAATTAAGTTACTGTTACAAAATATTGCTATTTAAAAGTTAAAATTACTTTTAAGTAAAAATTAAAGTAGCTGTTTAGTATACTTAACTAATTTAAGTTATCACCACTTTGGCAATGGTTTTTGGAACCAAAAATGCTGCTTGGGTTTGCAATGCAGAATAATTTTGATGTATACAAGTGTATCTTGTAGGTATTAACATAGGGCCTTTCCATCTCAAATTGACCATACACTTTTTCTACCGAAGTAAATTTACCCAATATTTTTTTTCTAAAAAAGGCAAAAAAAATTGAGGTCACATTTTGACATTGCCAGAGTTGGCTAAATTCGTCGTTTTGGAATTATTTTTTTTTAATGAAAATGCCATTTTCTAGTAAATTCATGGTTTATCGCAAAAATTTGGTATTTTATCTAGGATCATGCAACTGGGGTGACCTTCATAAAGTGTAACTTAGAACTTTTTGACATATTCAACATATTTTTGTCACCTCCTATGCATTTTACGTATTTCGATTCAAAATAAAATTCTGAATACATACATATGTCATTTGTCAAATCATTTTTTGTTTACATTTTATTTCTATAACTAGAGTACCTTGAATTGGCTTTTCTGCTTCACGTGGGGACAAATAGTCTGGAAAAAACACAATTTTATTCTTTTTTTGCAATGCTGGTTTTTAGGAGCTCTCAAAAATTTTAAAACCATACTTTATGCCAAAACTATTTTTTTACACTTTTTTAAAATTTGTTACCAAATATTTATGAATTTTTTAATAATATCGCTTTCAAACTCAAACTTGTATGTTTATTAGGTTTTAAATTGTCTACAGAACTAAATTTATTAATAAATTAAGAAGGCTTTGAAACCTTTGCGTTTAAAAGAAGTATCAGCTGATACTTACTTCTTTTAAACGCAAAGGTTTCAAATCTAGATTTGACAGTTCGTTAGTTTGTTTTGTTGGTAAGTAAATATTAACATTTTATTTTACTATTATTTTTATAAAATAAAATAAAAATAATAATTGAGGTGGTTAGAATTAAAGGGGTGTAAGTCATTAGATACTCAACATTTTTTGGTTTTAAATCTACCTACTACATAAAATCATTCAAATATTTTAAAATGATTAAAAAAAGTTATATCTAACCGCCATTGTAGGGAATCTCTGGCAATAAATAAAAAAAACGAAATATGAAATGAAATAAAACTTTCTTATTTCTAAACATAATTAACATGCGCATTAGTTTCTAAACCTCTTAGGATTAATACTTATTTTCCTT